TTCAGGCGTGAGGCCACCCACCTGGCCTTTTTTTTTTTTTAAATTTATTTCTTTTAGAGACTTGGCTCACTGCACTCTGCCTCCCTGGTTCAGTGTTTTTGTGGCCTAACCTCTCTGAGTGCTGGTGATGACAGGTGGGTGCCCATGCCCGGCTATTTTTTGTATTTTTAGTTAGAGACAGGATTTCACTCATGTTTGGCAGGGACTGGTCTAAAACGTGCGAGGCACTGACACAGGCCACAGCGTGGATGAAGCTTGAGGATGTCACACTCAGTGAGAAAAGCCAGACAAAAGGCCACACACTGTGTGATCCCATTTCTAGGAAATATTCAGGACAAGCCGACCCACAGAGACAGGAAGTAGAATAGAGATGACTGGAAGATGGAGAGGGGAGAATGTTTGTTTAACGGGTCCAGAGTTTATGTTTCGGGTGATGAAAGTTTGGGAAAGACGCTGGAGTGATGGTTGCACAACACTGCATGCAATGCCACTGAATTGTATGCTTAAAAATGCCTAAATGGGCCGGGCGCGGTGGCTCAAGCCTGTAATCCCAGCACTTTGGGAGGCTGAGGCGGGTGGATCACGAAGTCAGGAGATCGAGACCATCCTGGCTAACACGGTGAAACCCCGTCTCTACTAAAAAATACAAAAAAACTAGCCAGGCGAGGTGGCCGGTGCCTGTAGTCCCAGCTACTCGGGAGGCTGAGGCAGGAGAATGGCAGGAACCCGGGAGGCAGAGCTTGCGGTGAGCTGAGATCTGGCCACTGCACTCCAGCCTGGGCAACAGAGTGAGACTCCGCCTCAAAAAAAAAGGCCTAAATGGGCCAGGCGTGGTGGCTTACGCCTGTCATCCCAGCACTTTGGGCGGCCGAAGTGGGCGGATTGCCTGAGGTCAGGAGTTCGAGACCAGCCTGGCCAACATGATAAAACCCCGTCTCTTCTAAAAATACAAAAAATAGCCGGGCGTGGTGGTGCATGCCTGTAATCCCAGCTACTCAGGAGTCTGAGGCAGAAGAATCACTTCAACCCGGGAGGCAGAGGTTTCAGTGAGCAACAAGAGCGAAACTCCATTTCAAAAAAGCCTAAATTGTGTCTTTTATGTTATACATATATACATATCTATATATAGAGAGAGTTACAATTTTATTTTTTTTTTGAGACGGAGTCTCGCGCTGTGTCACCCAGGCTGGAGTGCAGTGGCGCGATCTCGGCTCACTGCAAGCTCCGCCTCCCAGGTTCACGCCATTCTCCTGCCTCAGCCTCCGAGTAGCTGGGACTACAGGCACCCGCCACCACGCCCGGCTAGTTTTTTGTATTTTTAGTAGAGACGGGGTTTCACCATGTTAGCCAGGATGGTCTGGATCTCCTGACCTCGTGATCCCCCCGCCTCAGCCTCCCAAAGTGCTGGGATTACAGGCTTGAGCCACCGCGCCCGGCCGAGAGTTACAATTTTAAAAATAAGGTAACACACCAAAAACCACTGATTTATTTACTTGTATATCTTAAGTGGGCTCACCATATGGTATGTGAATTACATCCCGATGAAGCTGTTTTTATTTTTTGAGACTGAGTCTTGCTCTGTTGCTCAGGCTGGAGTGCAGTGGCGCAATCTCAGCTCACTGCAACGTCCACTTCCCGCGTTCAAGTGATTCTCCTGCCTTAGCCTCTCAAGTAGCTGGGATTACAGACATGCACCACCATGCCCAGCTAATTTTTGTATTTTTAGTAGAGACGGGGTTTCACCATGTTGGCCAGGCTGGTCTTGAACTAACCTCAAGTGATCCAGCCGCCTCTGCCTCCCAGAGTGCTGGGATTACAGGCATCAGCCACCACACCCAGCCGATGAAGCTGTTTTAAAATGATATAGTGGTTGCCTCCTTTCTTTGTTGGGCCAAGTTGGTCTTACCCTTGCAGCAGGTGACCGGGGTGTGATGAAAAGTGATCCAGACACCCAGTCCCAAGTTCATGCCAAGGTTCTGGAAAGAGATTCAAAACACAGGCCCTCAGGGCACAGTCCAAGCTCAGAGTGGGAGGGAGGTTGAACTTCGACCAATTACTGCTTTGTACCACTGGGCTCTAGAGCCTCAGGCACAGCTTAATTTTTATAAAGTAATTGATATTAAGATGGAATTACATGGGCCCTGGGTTCATGGCAGCCCCTCTTAGGAGATAGTGAAGTATTTGCTAACGATCTTTAGAAGGGTAGATTGGGGCCAGGTGTGGTGGGTCACGCCTGTAATCCTAGCATTTTTGGGAGGCCGAGGCAGGAGAATTGCTTGAACTTGGGAGGTGGAGGTTGCAATGAGCTGAGATCACACCACTGCACTGCAGCCTGGCGACAGAGCGAGACTCGGTCTCAAAAATAAAAAAGGGCGGGCGCGGTGGCTCAAGCCTGTAATCCCAGAACTTTGGGAGGCCGAGGCGGGTGGATCACAAGGTCAGGAGATCGAGACCATCCTGGCTAACACGGTGAAACCCCGTCTCTACTAAAAAATACAAAAAAACTAGCCGGGGGATTTGGCTCATACAACCTCAACATACTTATTACAACACAAGAATACCTCTGACTTCTACCATCATGACCACTAGCCATAATATGATTTACCTCCACACTAGCAGAAACAAATCGAACCCCCTTCGATCTCATAGAAGGCAAATCAGAACTAGTATCAGGCTTTAATATTGAATATTCCGCAGGCCCATTCACCCTATTCTTCATGGCCGAATACATAAACATCATAATAAATGCCCTAACAACCACAATTTTTCTAGGCACATCCTACCCCATCCATTCACCAGAACTATTCACAACATGCTTTACCACTAAAACACTCTTCCTAACTTCCTTATTTCTATGAATCCGAGCAGCGTATCCCCGATTCCGCTATGATCAACTCATACTATGAAAAAACTTTCTCCCACTTACACTAGCACTCCTCATATGAAACACCTCAATGCCCATCGCAATCTCCAGCATTCCCCCTCAGAGCTAGAAACATGTCTGACAAAAGAGTTACTTTGATAGAGTAATAGAGGCCCCAACCCTCTTATTTCTAGGATTGCGGGCATTGAACCCACCCCTGAGAACCCAAACTTCTCCGTGCTACCTCTCACACTCCATCCTAAAGTAAGGTCAGCTAAATAAGCTATCGGGCCCATACCCCGAAAATGTTGGTCACACCCTTCCCGTACTAATCAACCCACTAGCTCAACTTATTATCTACATCACGATAATCACAGGCACACTCATTACAACACTAAACTCACACTGATTCCTCACCTGAGCAGGTCTAGAGATAAACATATTAGCCTTCACTCCAATCTTAATCAAAAAAACAAACCCTCGCTCCACGGAAGCCGCTACCAAATACTTCCTAACACAATCCACCGCATCTATAATCCTCATAATAGCAATTATTTCCAACAACCTACTATCAGGATACTGAACAATAACAAGCCACACCAATCAACTCTCATCCCTAATAATAACCGCCCTTGCCATAAAACTAGGAATAGCTCCCTTCCACTTTTGAGTCCCAGAAGTCACCCAAGGAACATCCCTAACCTCTGGCTTACTTCTCCTTACATGACAAAAACTAGCCCCCATCTTAATCATATACCAAATTCACCCATCGATCAATGCCTGCACTCTCCTAACCCTGTCAACCCTATCCATCATAGTAGGCAGTTGAGGGGGTCTCAACCAAACACAATTACGTAAGATCCTAGGATACTCTTCACTCACTCACATAGGCTGAATAACAATAACACTAACATATAACCCGACTATCACAATTCTCTACTTAACTACATACATCATCCTAACAACTACTATATTCCTAACCCTCAACCTAAACTCAAACACAACGCTCATGCTATCCCACACCTGAAACAAATCAACCTACCTAATACCA